CTTGCCTTGCATGCCTGAGGCCCTGGGTTCGATTCCTCAGCACCACATAAACAAAAAGAAAAAAGCCGGAAATGGCACTGTGGCTCAAGTGGTAGAGCGCTAACCTCGAGCTGAAGAGCTGAGGGACAGCGCCCAGGCCCAGAGTTCAGGCCCCACGATTGGACCCCCCCAAAAAAAAGATTTGCAAATTACACACTCCTGGAATAGAGCAAATCGATGGGTTGATGGATTCAACTTTCAGTTCTGGGCTCTATACCTAAAAAAAAAAGTCAAGATAGGTGACCCCAGAATTACCTCACCTACTAACTATACCCTCCGGGGCCTGTGCACATCTTTGTACTGTCCATATTTAGGCCTCAGGTTTTCTGTTTTTGTCTCTCTTTTTATGCCTTATGGTCTCATTGTGGTTACCACAACTTTTAACTACCTCAACTTCATTTGTGGACTTTCTTGTTTTGTTGTTATGAGGCTTGAACTCAGGGCCTGGGCGCTGTCCCTGAGCTCTTTTGCTCAAGGCTAATGCTAGTGCTCTATCATTTTGAGCCACAGCTGCACTTGAAGTTTTCTGGTGGTTCCGTGGAGATAAGACTTTTCTGACCAGGCTGACTTTGAACTGTGATCCTCAGATCTCAGCCTCCTGAATAGCTAGGATTACAGGTGTGAGCCACCAGTGCCCGGCTAGATAGGACATTTTTTAAGTTTTTTTTTTTCCTCAGCTTTTAACAAAGAGGGAAGTAAACACGCTCGCGGTCCAGTCCAGCCTTCTGGCCCAGTCTCCCAGCCGCAGCTGGGCGGCCTGGCGGAAAGGCAAACCAGCCACATTCTGCCACAACCTAGCCTCTCCACAGCTCCCAGATCCTGAATTCAAGCCAGGATCGGCATGAACCAGTAAACACACACATGTAAAGGAAGCCCGGCACTGGTGGCTCATACCTGTAATCCCACCTACTCAGAAGGATGAGGGAGGTCTGAAGACCCTGGTTCAAAGCCAGCCCTGCAGGAAAGGCTGAGACTCTTCAAGAAAACACCAGAAAACTGGAAGTGAGGCTGTGGCTCCAAGTGGTAGAGCGCTCGCCTTGAGCAAAGGAGCCAGGGCCCTAAGTTCAAGCCCAAGGCCGACAGAAAGGACAAAAGGAGGAGGAGGAAGGAAGGAAGAGGAGGAGGGGAAAGGGGGGGGATGAAGAAGGAAGAAGTGGACTCCAGACGTCCTGTAAGGCTAGCGAAGCCATCTAACTTCTCCAGCCTCAGTTTCCCTGTCGGACAGCTCCTTGGCAAAGGTCACAGAGGATTGAGTTATAATAACAACTGATACTCGCGCAGCACTTACCCGCGCCAAGCCCTCGCCTGCTTCCCCTATTCTATTAACTTCGCAAATCCGATAAGGCACGGTCTCTGATCCGCAGCGCGGGCTGGCGGGCCGGCGCGATCCTGCCCTGGGGTGGGGCTGTGACGCCATCGCGGGCGGGGCCTCGCGGGGCGGGAACACTACAACTCCCAGCGGACGCCGCAACACGGGCCGACTACAATGACCAGCATGCCCCGGGGGCGTGCGCGCGCAGAGCCGCCTTCCTCCGGGAGCTGGGCGTGGGAACCCGCTGGCTCCGTCTAGCTCGCCGGCCATTCCCAACGTGCGGGGCTCCGTGCGCCCCGAGCGCGGCGGGTGGAAGGCCTGCGCTTTGCTCTCCGCGTTCTAGAACAGGCTGCGTCTGAGCTGCGTAAAAGCAGTGCCACGTGAAGTGGGGCCAGCCAGGCTGAGACGCCACCAGCCCGTGCTTCCCTCACCTGCGAGGCCCCGAGCTGGGGACCTGACCAGGGACGCGGCCACGCACGGCAGGGAGGACGCGCTGAGCGGGGACAGGCCGCAGCGCCTGCGCACACCCCATCATATGAAATAACACCAGGGCTGGGAAGGGAGCGCTTGCCTTGCATGGGTTCACTTCCTCAGACCACATAAATAGAAAATGCTGGAAGTGGCGCTGTGGTTCAAGTGGTAGAGCGCTCGCCTTGAGCTGAAGAGCTGAGGGACAGCGCCCAGGCCCAGAGTTCAGGCCCACGACTGGACCAAAAACAACAAAAAAATCTCAGGGTCAGTGCCCAGGCCCTAAGTTCAAGCCCCAGGACTGGCAAAATATAAATGTTTAAATGATCTTCAGGAAATGGAAACAAGGTGTTTTTTTCATTGCTGGTTTGTTGTTTTGTGGATCCTGGGGGCTTGAACTCAGGGCCTAGACGCTATCCCTGACCTTATTTATGTTCGAGGCTAGTGCTCTACCACTTGAGCCATAGTACCATTCACAGCTTTTCCTGAATATTTTATTGGAGATGAGTCATATGGACTTTCCTGTGCAGGCTGGCTTTAACTGTGATCCTCAGATCTCAACGTCCTGAATAGCTAGGATTATAGGTGTGAGCCATCAGTACCTGGCTGCTTTCTGTCATTGGTTCCTTTATCTGTTTTTGGGAGG